TTTTGTTTGATTGAATCAAACTAGGTATTGATTTGATTGTAAATGTAGAAAATATATTGATTGTGTCTGTAATGGAAATATTAGAGTTAATATTGAACAACTGCATTGGTTAGAAGAATGGACAAAATTATAAGACTTCTCTGGTTAGATTTTGTTAAATATGGCATTAAATAGAGCTTACTAAATTGAATTAGAAGTGAACAAAATATGGTTAGGAAAACCGAGGTGAAATATGGAGATGGGTGTAGATTAATGGAAAAGGCTTAATGATAGGAGTTAGGATTGTTATTCTAATAATTTTGTTATTCATGGGGGAATATGATTACAGTGACAGGTGAAACATGCTGTCTGTTCAATTGGTGAAAATGACAGTCTATCCCAAGGATGAACAAAATTATGCGACGATACAGGTAGCGGGAGCTACAGTGAGATATGTGTTAAATGTATGTTCTGTTTGTTTTTCTTCTATTTGTTTATTTTCTGAGAAAGATTAAGGGCAAAAGATTTAAAGAAGGTTACAAGCAGCGGTCATCCGTGTTACGAGATGGCGTACAAAGATAGGGTTTGAAACTGAGTGATTTTTATTATACTTTATCTGTTTGTTTCCTTACTATGTTATAACTACCTTTTTCCTTACTGGCGTGACTGAGGGTCTGTTTACAGGAGCGCAGGAACAGTGATTTCTCGCTTAGCCCGGCGTCGTAAAAATGTTTACTTGCTAGCTAAAATATTACGGGGCCTTTCCCCCACAAAAACAGCCTTATGCTTCTTCATTCTAAACTTTTCTTCACAGGTTCAAGGAGAGTGATCATTTATGCAAAAAATCAGAGATGAAGAGTATAAGTGTGATGATATGACTTAAAATTTGTTTTATTGTTTATTATTGTGATTATGGGTAATCAGAATGATAAAAAGTGAGGAGTTGTAGTGGCAATTTTAATTATATTCATTGATCTTTAGTAAAATATAGATGATTCAAAGAATGTCACATGTGTGTCTCTCACTTGTAGTGAGAGAGGATTCTGTTTATGTACCTGGGGAGGCAGAAGAGTGAGACACTCCAGAGAACAGACGAACAAGGACCTCTGACCTAGATGTCAGAAGGCCACTTAGTGCAGGGGAGCTTAGTGGGCCAACTAGTGACGTCTATGGAAAACTACTGGGAGGAAGGCTCTGGGGGGAAGAAGGCCTTGAAACTAAGATAAAAGCTAGTTCAGTCTGTCTGGGGGGTGTCACTCTTCTGCACAGGGTAACAACTGTGTATTAGACTGCTCCTATTCTTGCAAGAATAAATACTTCTATTTTATATAATTTGACTCTGAGTGTCTCTTACGCAGTGATGTTTGTTTGAGATTAATTTTTGCCACAACAGGAGTTAGCCAATTTGACTCATTGAGATTTTTTTGGTGATCTGACAGCTACCTCATGATTTTGAGTTTCACTGCGACACAGCTGGCTGCCATTTTGGAGGATGGCCCAAAGGCTTTGATTAGGTAATTCAGGTGTGTTTGATTAGAGATGGAATTGCAATCTGCAGGGAGGGGGGCCTCCAGGAGTGTAACTGCGTCCCCCCTGTATTTAGGAGGCCTTTCCACCTGTCGAGGTGCTCCTTCAAGGCACGTAGAATTTCGACGGATTTAACTGTGGAGAAGAGAGACATTAAAAGAAAAAATTGGCGAAAATGGCCCACGGAAGGTGCCCTCACAAGGTAGCGTGGCCGAGCGGTCTAAGGCGCTGGGTCTAAGGCGCAAAAGCGGCTGAAAATCTGCACCCTCTTGAATCAGGGACAGCAATAATGTCACTTCAAAAATGAATTTAAACATAATAATAATAACAAATGTCTAGTCTATAATGATGGAGTTAGCCAATTTGACTCATTGAGATTTTTTTGGTGATCTGACAGCTACCTCATGATTTTGAGTTTAACTGCGACACAGCTGGCTGCCATTTTGGAGGATGGCCCAAAGGCTTTGATTAGGTAATTCAAGTGTGTTTGATTAGAGATGGAATTGCAATCTGCAGGGAGGGGGGCCTCCAGGAGTGTAACTGCGTCCCCCCTGTATTTAGGAGGCCTTTCCACCTGTCGAGGTGCTCCTTCAAGGCACGTAGAATTTCGACGGATTTAACTGTGGAGAACAGAGACATTAAAAGAAAAAATTGGCGAAAATGGCCCACGGAAGGTGCCCTCACAAGGTAGCGTGGCCGAGCGGTCTAAGGCGCTGGATTAAGGCTCCAGTCTCTTCGGGGGTGTGGGTTCAAATCCCACCGCTGCCAAGACAGCATTTTAGAAGGCACTCGTGGCTGCTATGCCTAAGCGAAAACACTGGAGAAGTGACACTGCTTGCTCCCGGTCTCTTCCAAACCCTGCCGCTTTTGCTTTCCTTGGCCGAACTCGGCGTGCTTCAGAGCCTGACGATGAAGGTACGCACCCAACGTTTAATCTATTTATGAAAAAAAAAATGGCCAGAAAACGGCCCACGAAACGAGCCTCGTCAGGGTAGCGTGGCCGAGGTGTCTAAGGCGCTGGATTTAGGCTCCAGTCTCTTTTTTGCTCCGAAAAGGCGCAAAAGCGGCTGAAAATCTGCACCCTCTTGAATCAGGGACAGCAATAATGTCACTTCAAAAATGAATTTAAACATAATAATAACAAATGTCTAGTCTATAATGATGGAGTTAGCCAATTTGACTCATTGAGATTTTTTTGGTGATCTGACAGCTACCTCGTGATTTTGAGTTTAACTGCGACACAGCTGGCTGCCATTTTGGAGGATGGCCCAAAGGCTTTGATTAGGTAATTCAGGTGTGTTTGATTAGAGATGGAATTGCAATCTGCAGGGAGGGGGGCCTCCAGGAGTGTAACTGCGTCCCCCCTGTATTTAGGAGGCCTTTCCACCTGTCGAGGTGCTCCTTCAAGGCACGTAGAATTTCGACGGATTTAACTGTGGAGAAGAGAGACATTAAAAGAAAAAATTGGCGAAAATGACCCACGGAAGGTGCCCTCACAAGGTAGCGTGGCCGAGCGGTCTAAGGCGCTGGATGAAGGCTCCAGTCTCTTCGGGGGCGTGGGTTCGAATCCCACCGCTGCCAAGACAGCATTTTAGAAGGCACTTGTGGCTGCTATGCCTAAGCGAAAACACTGAAGAAGTGACACTGCTTGCTCCCGGTCTCTTCCAAACCCTGCCGCTTTTGCTTTCCTTGGCCGAACTCGGCGTGCTTCAGAGCCTGACGATGAAGGTACGCACCCAATGTTTAATCTATTTATGAAAAAAAAAATGGCCAGAAAACGGCCCACGAAACGAGCCTCGTCAGGGTAGCATGGCCGAGGGGTCTAAGGCGCTGGATTTAGGCTCCAGTCTCTTTTTTGGGGCGTGGGTTCGAATCCCACTGCTGCCAGCAGTGATTTTAAAGAGGGCCAGACACCGTAAGTGTGCTCCGAAAAGGCGCAAAAGCGGCTGAAAATCTGCACCCTCTTGAATCAGGGACAGCAATAATGTCACTTCAAAAATGAATTTAAACATAATAATAACAAATGTCTAGTCTATAATGATGGAGTTAGCCAATTTGACTCATTGAGATTTTTTTGGTGATCTGACAGCTACCTCATGATTTTGAGTTTAACTGCGACACAGCTGGCTGCCATTTTGGAGGATGGCCCAAAGGCTTTGATTAGGTAATTCAAGTGTGTTTGATTAGAGATGGAATTGCAATCTGCAGGGAGGGGGGCCTCCAGGAGTGTAACTGCGTCCCCCCTGTATTTAGGAGGCCTTTCCACCTGTCGAGGTGCTCCTTCAAGGCACGTAGAATTTCGACGGATTTAACTGTGGAGAACAGAGACATTAAAAGAAAAAATTGGCGAAAATGGCCCACGGAAGGTGCCCTCACAAGGTAGCGTGGCCGAGCGGTCTAAGGCGCTGGATTAAGGCTCCAGTCTCTTCGGGGGTGTGGGTCAAATCCCACCGCTGCCAAGACAGCATTTTAGAAGGCACTCGTGGCTGCTATGCCTAAGCGAAAACACTGGAGAAGTGACACTGCTTGCTCCCGGTCTCTTCCAAACCCTGCCGCTTTTGCTTTCCTTGGCCGAACTCGGCGTGCTTCAGAGCCTGACGATGAAGGTACGCACCCAACGTTTAATCTATTTATTAAAAAAAAAATGGCCAGAAAACGGCCCACGAAACGAGCCTCGTCAGGGTAGCGTGGCCGAGGTGTCTAAGGCGCTGGATTTAGGCTCCAGTCTCTTTTTTGCTCCGAAAAGGCGCAAAAGCAGCTGAAAATCTGCACCCTCTTGAATCAGGGACAGCAATAATGTCACTTCAAAAATGAATTTAAACATAATAATAACAAATGTCTAGTCTATAATGATGGAGTTAGCCAATTTGACTCATTGAGATTTTTTTGGTGATCTGACAGCTACCTCGTGATTTTGAGTTTAACTGCGACACAGCTGGCTGCCATTTTGGAGGATGGCCCAAAGGCTTTGATTAGGTAATTCAGGTGTGTTTGATTAGAGATGGAATTGCAATCTGCAGGGAGGGGGGCCTCCAGGAGTGTAACTGCGTCCCCCCTGTATTTAGGAGGCCTTTCCACCTGTCGAGGTGCTCCTTCAAGGCACGTAGAATTTCGACGGATTTAACTGTGGAGAAGAGAGACATTAAAAGAAAAAATTGGCGAAAATGGCCCACGGAAGGTGCCCTCACAAGGTAGCGTGGCCGAGCGGTCTAAGGCGCTGGATGAAGACTCCAGTGTCTTCGGGGGCGTGGGTTCGAATCCCACCGCTGCCAAGACAGCATTTTAGAAGGCACTTGTGGCTGCTATGCCTAAGCGAAAACACTGAAGAAGTGACACTGCTTGCTCCCGGTCTCTTCCAAACCCTGCCGCTTTTGCTTTCCTTGGCCGAACTCGGCGTGCTTCAGAGCCTGACGATGAAGGTACGCACCCAACGTTTAATCTATTTATGAAAAAAAAAATGGCCAGAAAACGGCCCACGAAACGAGCCTCGTCAGGGTAGCATGGCCGAGGGGTCTAAGGCGCTGGATTTAGGCTCCAGTCTCTTTTTTGGGGCGTGGGTTCGAATCCCACTGCTGCCAGCAGTGATTTTAAAGAGGGCCAGACACCGTAAGTGTGCTCCGAAAAGGCGCAAAAGCGGCTGAAAATCTGCACCCTCTTGAATCAGGGACAGCAATAATGTCACTTCAAAAATGAATTTAAACATAATAATAACAAATGTCTAGTGTATAATGATGGAGTTAGCCAATTTGACTCATTGAGATTTTTTTGGTGATCTGACAGCTACCTCATGATTTTGAGTTTAACTGCGACACAGCTGGCTGCCATTTTGGAGGATGGCCCTAAGGCTTTGATTAGGTAATTCAGGTGTGTTTGATTAGAGATGGAATTGCAATCTGCAGGGAGGGGGGCCTCCAGGAGTGTAACTGCGTCCCCCCTGTATTTAGGAGGCCTTTCCACCTGTCGAGGTGCTCCTTCAAGGCACGTAGAATTTCGACGAATTTAACTGTGGAGAAGTCCCACCGCTGCCAAGACAGCATTTTAGAAGGCACTCGTGGCTGCTATGCCTAAGCGAAAACACTGGAGAAGTGACACTGCTTGCTCGCGGACTCTTCCAAACCCTGCCGCTTTTGCTTTCCTTGGCCAAACTCGGCGTGCTTCAGAGCCTGACGATGAAGGTCCGCACCCAACGTTTAATCTATTTATGAAAAAAAAATGGCCAGAAAACGGCCCACGAATCAAGCCACGTCAGGGTAGCGTGGCCGAGGGGTCTAAGGCGCTGTATTTAGGCTTCAGTCTCTTCGGTGGTGTGGGTTCGAATCCCACTGCTGCCAGCAGTGATTTTAAAGAGGTCCAGACACCTTAAGTGTGCGCCGAAAAGGCGCAAAAGCGGCTGAAAATCTGCACCCTCTTGAATCAGGGACAGCAATAATGTCACTTCAAAAATGAATTTAAACATAATAATAACAAATGTCTAGTCTATAATGATGGAGTTAGCCAATTTGACTCATTGAGATTTTTTTGGTGATCTGACAGCTACCTCATGATTTTGAGTTTAACTGCGACACAGCTGGCTGCCATTTTGGAGGATGGCCCAAAGGCTTTGATTAGGTAATTCAGGTGTGTTTGATTAGAGATGGAATTGCAATCTGCAGGGAGGGGGGCCTCCAGGAGTGTAACTGCGTCCCCCCTGTATTTAGGAGGCCTTTCCACCTGTCGAGGTGCTCCTTCAAGGCACGTAGAATTTCGACGAATTTAACTGTGGAGAAGTCCCACCGCTGCCAAGACAGCATTTTAGAAGGCACTCGTGGCTGCTATGCCTAAGCGAAAACACTGGAGAAGTGACACTGCTTGCTCGCGGACTCTTCCAAACCCTGCCGCTTTTGCTTTCCTTGGCCAAACTCGGCGTGCTTCAGAGCCTGACGATGAAGGTCCGCACCCAACGTTTAATCTATTTATGAAAAAAAAATGGCCAGAAAACGGCCCACGAATCAAGCCACGTCAGGGTAGCGTGGCCGAGGGGTCTAAGGTGCTGTATTTAGGCTTCAGTCTCTTCGGTGGCGTGGGTTCGAATCCCACCGCTGCCAGCAGTGATTTTAAAGAGGTCCAGACACCTTAAGTGTGCGCCGAAAAGGCGCAAAAGCGGCTGAAAATCTGCACCCTCTTGAATCAGGGACAGCAATAATGTCACTTCAAAAATGATTTTAAACATAATAATAACAAATGTCTAGTCTATAATGATGGAGTTAGCCAATTTGACTCATTGAGATTTTTTTGGTGATCTGACAGCTACCTCATGATTTTGAGTTTAACTGCGACACAGCTGGCTGCCATTTTGGAGGATGGCCCAAAGGCTTTGATTAGGTAATTCAGGTGTGTTTGATTAGAGATGGAATTGCAATCTGCAGGGAGGGGGCCTCCAGGAGTGTAACTGCGTCCCGCCTCTATTTAGGAGGCCTTTCCACCTGTCGAGGTGCTCCTTCAAGGCACGTAGGATTTCGACGAATTTAACTGTGGAGAAGTCCCACCGCTGCCAAGACAGCATTTTAGAAGGCACTCGTGGCTGCTATGCCTAAGCGAAAACACTGGAGAAGTGACACTGCTTGCTCGCGGACTCTTCCAAACCCTGCCGCTTTTGCTTTCCTTGGCCAAACTCGGCGTGCTTCAGAGCCTGACGATGAAGGTCCGCACCCAACGTTTAATCTATTTATGAAAAAAAAATGGCCAGAAAACGGCCCACGAATCGAGCCACGTCAGGGTAGCGTGGCCGAGGGGTCTAAGGTGCTAGATTTAGGCTTCAGTCTCTTCGGGGGCGTGGGTTCGAATCCCACCGCTGCCAGCAGTGATTTTAAAGAGGTCCAAACACCTTAAGTGTGCTCCGAAAAGGCGCAAAAGCGGCTGAAAATCTGCACCCTCTTGAATCAGGGACAGCAATAATGTCACTTCAAAAATGAATTTAAACATAATAATAACAAATGTCTAGTCTATAATGATGGAGTTAGCCAATTTGACTCATTGAGATTTTTTTGGTGATCTGACAGCTACCTCATGATTTTGAGTTTAACTGCGACACAGCTGGCTGCCATTTTGGAGGATGGCCCAAAGGCTTTGATTAGGTAATTCAGGTGTGTTTGTTTAGAGATGGAATTGCAATCTGCAGGGAGGGGGGCCTCCAGGAGTGTAACTGCGTCCCCCCTGTATTTAGGAGGCCTTTCCACCTGTCGAGGTGCTCCTTCAAGGCACGTAGAATTTCGACGGATTTAACTGTGGAGAAGAGAGACATTAAAAGAAAAAATTGGCGAAAATGGACCACGGAAGGAGCCCTCACAAGGTATCGTGGCCGAGCGGTCGAAGGCGCTGGATTAAGGCTCCAGTCTCTTCGGGGGCGTGGGTTCAAATCCCACCGCTGCCAAGACAGCATTTTAGAAGGCACTCGTGGCTGCTATGCCTAAGCGAAAACACTGGAGAAGTGACACTGCTTGCTCCCGGTCTCTTCCAAACCCTGCCGCTTTTGCTTTCCTTGGCCGAACTCGGCGTGCTTCAGAGCCTGACGATGAAGGTACGCACCCAACGTTTAATCTATTTATGAAAAAAAAAATGGCCAGAAAACGGCCCACGAATCGAGCCACGTCAGGGTAGCGTGGCCGAGGGGTCTAAGGCGCTGGATTTAGGCTCCAGTCTCTTCGGGGGCGTGGGTTCGAATCCCACCGCTGCCAGCAGTGATTTTAAAGAGGGCCAGACACCTTAAGAGTGCTCCGAAAAGGCGCAAAAGCGGCTGAAAATCTGCACCCTCTAGAATCAGGGATGGTAATAATGTCACTTCAAAAATGAATTTAAACATAATAATAACAAATGTCTAGTCTATAATGATGGAGTGTAGTGGCAATTTTAATGATATTCATTGATCTTTAGTAAAATATAGATGATTCAAAGAATGTCACATGTGTGTCTCTCACTTGTAGTGAGAGAGGATTCTGTTTATGTACCTGGGGAGGCAGAAGAGGGAGACACTCCAGAGAACAGACGAACAAGGACCTCTGACCTAGATGTCAGAAGGCCACTTAGTGCAGGGGAGCTTAGTGGGCCAACTAGTGACGTCTATGGAAAACTACCGGGAGGAAGGCTCTGGGGGGAAGAAGGCCTTGAAACTAAGATAAAAGCTAGTTCAGTCTGTCTGGGGGGGTGTCACTCTTCTGCACAGGGTAACAACTGTGTATTAGACTGCTCCTATTCTTGCAAGAATAAATACTTCTATTTTATATAATTTGACTCTGAGTGTCTCTTACGCAGTGATGTTTGTTTGAGATGAATTTTTGCCACAACAGTTTTGGTGTCAGAAGTGGGATTCCTTGGACGTGCCTCCTGGACCTGAGATCGGACGGTGTTTGGCCACCTGGACTAAGTAAGTTCCAGCTCTACCTCGTAAACTTGAGAGAGAGGGGCCGACCGATATCAGGGCCGGGAGAATCGACCACTGGAATCTAAAGAACCCGCAGGTGGCAACAGAAGCATCTCTGGTAAGAGACAGTTCAATTTATTTTCTTTTGGGTAAGTTAATTAAATTCAGTTTAATTGGGGAGAAGAGTAAAATTGAACCATATTGGCTGAAGGCTGTTTCTGTGGTACGTAATCTGAGATTAATTGAGATCTATATAGATCAAGAAATTTCAAACAGATACGAGGGAAAAATCTGAGATTAATTGAGGTCTGCAACAGAACAAGAAATTTCAAGCAGATAAATAATCTGGGATTAAGTGAGAACTGTAACAGATCAAGAGATTTCAAACAGATAGGTACCCTGAAAATTAGTTGTTCCACGACGGAGCAAATTGTTTTTAGGTACTGAGGCTAATTAGGGGGAACCAGAATTTTTTGGTAAACCATAATTAGGAGGGCACTAATAGTGCAACCCGACCGATTTGGGTTAAAAGAAAGAATCGGATTTGTTTAGGGACGCCTAACAGATTAAAGAAAACGCGCGTTGAAGAGAAATCCACAGAGAACAGAAAACAGCCAGTATGGGAAAATCTCAGAGTAAGCATGCCAAATTTGATACACCGGTTTTCTGTAGAACTAGGAAAGTATGGGGGGAAATGTATGTTTTAGATATTGGAAAAAAAACTGAGAAAATACCATGATCATGAGCTACCATGAGCACAAATAGACTAAGAGTGTGCGAGAATCAGTGGAACAGGGCAGCGGGACAAAAGGTTGTTGTGGCTGCGTTCAACATGTGTGTAAAAAATGTGAACAGATAATGGATTGTTCAGTTGAAGATAAAATGTCGAACTGCCAGGAGAAATAATGTTTTTACTTCTTCATCCAGTAAATGGATGCATGACATTAGATGTCTATAGAACTTAAATTTATATGACAAGGATTGAAGTAGCAAGAAGCAATAAGGCTGTCTGTGTGAAATAGAGGGAACGGTAAGTGAGACTTGGTGGAAGAGGGAAGTGAAAAAAACAAAAAGGTTGGTGTGTGAGATATGTGTGTGTGGGGATTGTTCAAACAATCATGTACTGGTTAGATAATGAAGGAACTGGCATGTTTGGGAAAAGAAAGGAGAGGATAATGAAGG